CAATACTACGAAATTTTGTGTTTTAGTACTCAAAGCGAAACAGATTACGAGGGTATTCGTTGGTTTTAATAAAGATCGTGAATATAAGTGGATAATTATCGTGATTTATATCATTATTTTCGTGAGATGACAATAAATGGACGAAGTTTTTACGTTTACATGTATGAAATAACATTTTTTATGTTTTGTCAGTCATATGCATTTTCTAAATAAATTCCGAAACGTTTCTGATCTCTGTCCCAGTAGTTTGAAACCAACATCTATTTTCTTCAATAAATATAGCATAAATACATCGCATATAGAGAAAGTCTAGACTTAGATGGTCTAACATTATAGAGTGACTCACTCACAAGATGAAATGTGACTCACAATGTGATTCGAGTTTTTATACATTAAGTGACTGTACCTATATGGTCAGAGAAACTTCATCTATGTCAATGGAGTTAAAGGTTTTATTTACAAGCTTTTCTATACACGGCTTAAACAGATTAAGCTTGATGTTCTTGTTTTACTATGCATTATGTTGTTATGGAAGAAATGGGTAACAACTATGAATTAATACTAAAGCAAGGTGAAGGTCTTGGTCAGACCATTTTGGAATTGCAAAAACTTGTGCATTTAGGGTCCAAGGACCATTGAAACCTACATGTGTACATAACTGTATTTACACATTTCTATATTTAATTGCAAACATAATTTATCTTTAAAATGCTTTTGTTAGAATCTACAGTTCAAAGTCAAAGTAAAAATCATTAATTTCTGTTATACCCTTACAGGCACTTTTGAAAGTAAAACAAAGTGTCAGTCTGTTCTCTAGTGAAGCATTCTAAATTGTAGATTCTGATGGCATACAGTAAAGTATATAACTTTTAGTATTCATATAATTTGAGTTGGTAGGCTCTGATGAAGGCTGAATAAGCAAACGGGTACTGAATTGGAGTATTGAATGATGGTAAAGTCATTGTTGATATATTGCTTTAACTATCATGATAACCAACTAGTTATAAGTATTTTTTCAACCAGCTTTAAAAAGGAACAAATTCTACACAAATTGTAATTGTTAACCAATACTATTATACAATGTTAAAAACTTAAGTAAGCTTCCTTCTTTTTTTAAATCTGAACTAAAAACTTGCCAGTCACTTAGTTCACCCTACCATATAGTTGTACAAAAAAGGACAGCTGTGTTGATTATAAACTAAAATCAATGGCAGGGTCTGTGACTTTTGTAAACAGGGGTGTTGACATGCACTTGAGTGGTTCATGAGTTGGGTAGAGTTGTTTATGTATCATCAGAAGGCACAGGGAGGTCGGAGAAAAATAAATGAAGACTGCTTATTGGGTAGTTTCATAGGTAAAATATAATCAAACTTACATTCATAAATTTGACTATATAGGTACTTACTTTCAATTTTAGTTTTTTTTCAAAATAATTGACTTCAAATAATTATGATGTATGTTGCGAGTTTATACAAAATGCATAAAAAAAGTATCATTTTTGATATTTGACTAGTTAGAAACTACTGGATTAATATGTCTTACGTAAGCATTTATGACAGTAATCATTAGTCTCCGGTAGACCGACAGGAAAAGCTGTCTATTGATTTAGTTCTATTTTGTGTCTAATACATACTACAGTAGTTATTTGTTACATCTAGAAGTTGGTTTTAATAGACTGATAGACAACTCGGGTCTGGATTTATTGTCTTCAGTGGAAGACTGGAAGAATCTTATGAGATTATACATATTTGCTTTATTTGAAGTTACACACCTCTCAATGTGAATTTGCTTGTTTTTTAAGAATAACTTGGCAAACCTTTTAATGTTTTCTACATTACACTCATAATTTCACAATATTAAACATAATTAGAGTTATTTTGATAAAAGCAAGGTCTTGTTTTGTCCAGTTACTTGAGGTCAACATATTGTAAAGACAAGTCACTAATGAGAATTAATTATCTGTAAAGATAAATTGATATTAACTGTTATTTTGGTTTATTGCTAATAGGAATGTGGGTGTGATCTTTGACATAAATAATTGTATATCACAATCTTCACTTTTCCATGTGGGTAATTGTTAATTGTAAAGGTTTTAGCGTGTATTAGTCACAAGTTCAAGTTTGTCCCATTTGTGTCATAGCAATACTATTTATTAGTCACATTTCATGACTTGATATTTTAATTATTCATACATATTGTAATTTGAGGAAGGAACTAGTCACTGTGGATAATAAACACATCCTTAAGTTTTGAACTAATTATAGTATGCTTCATGGAATATTTTCCTTGTCATGTATGGATTTGTATTCACTACCTAACTGTTTTATCTGTAGTTTTAGCCAATGAGCCGCATTACTAGCAGGAAAACTAGTGATAAGAACATTAATCCATTAATTCAGCGTGATACTCGTTACCGGGATTGGCTTAATGCCATCTCTATGGACCTTATTGGAAAGTACTAAAGACTAATTTTGCATGACGAAGGTACCTGATAAAATGTCTGATACAGCTAGATTTTCGTCAATAGAATTGAATAACGACCTTGACATTGGGCGGGCAATACCCTCGGCTAACTTTTATAATGACGTATCACCGGCTGCGGTATTCAGACGCGCCTATTCGCCCCAAAATAGACACGAAATATATGTGACAAGCTCAGCCGCGATCACTACGCCTTATATGGTCAAACGCAAGTGCGATTGCGCGACGATGCATTCCCTGTAAAGTTCGTTGCCCCCGGCGCGCTACACTCGACTGATAACTCATCTGAACACCACATCTGCCTCTCCAGCCCTTAAAAATCATTCATCGCCCCATACGGCACTCCGGGCTCGTCTAAAAAGGCGTTGCAGGAATAACCTTTCAAACGTACGTGAAATCCAATACCGGCCCATCGAGTAGTAATGTCCACTCGTCATCTCGGCACTAGTAGACATCTCCACGGTCATATACTCGAAAACACAACACGTGGCATCAAATCACTGAACGGTGACAACGATTTTTACGAAAAGGCGTGCAAACTCGACTGTGGGTTGTGCGAAATATGGCGGCACCGGTCACTGAAGAGCGATTTTTCCGTGAAATTGCGGTATACCGATTCGTAATTCACCACTCTCATAACGCAAAAACACATCGCGGTTGTTATGCACTGTAATTTATTTTCTTCACTTACCATTTTTTGATGTTATACACGTAAAAATTCCACCACTAACTTCACCGACACCACGACAACGGCGACCGGAACGACACTGTTCGGAATGTTGGCCAACCCTTTTTTACGGCACCCAATGAGCGCATGCGTCAAACTGATTGACAAAATCAATACAGTGCCCTTTTACAATTACGACAGATTCACAGAAACTGACACATACAGAGTAATTGTAAATTACACTTTTATATTTTTAAGAAAATTTTCGGTAGTGAATAAGTTCCAATAAGAATTTTTAATTTAAAAGTTGCAAAAGCAAGATGGCAACTTTCAGAAAAGTACACTAGCAACTCCGTTGAAGTACGCGATAATACGTACTCAGTCTTCAAATAAAAATGTTATTGATAAATAAAAGTCACTCCAATGTAACCAAGATTAGATATCAGAATACATGTCACTTTGTAAAGGCACGGATAGAAATACTTTTATGCTATCAACATTTAAAAGTGAGTCACTGATGACGACAGCGTGTCAACCAATCAGAATTTAGTATTCAACAAATGCCCATATACGGACTGACGGAAACAGTCGCAAAATCGCAAATGACATTTGAAATTTTCGCGCGATTTTTGTAAATAACATCGCCAAAGTTCGTTATTTGTATGATAATAATAGAAAAGATAACAACTTCGTACTTTTTTATGTTAGTCAGTAAATGACATTTTGTTATTAATGTTTGTAATGGTAGTAGGGTAGTAGTGTTTTATGATTGTCATTGCTAAGAATAATAAAATCATTGTGACCTTGATAAAATGATAAGGGACTTTTGTTTTTTTCTTACTCAGAGATTAGAGAAAATAGGAAAATTTTAAGTACGGATAAGTCTACATGTTTCTCAATATTGTGCAAATAGATTTTACTTTGCTGCTAAATTGTTGTTTAATTGTACGGAAGTCTTACCTACCTATGTAAGTAAATAACTAGCCTGCCCCAGCTTACAGTATTGCTGTTACTTAATTATGCCCACTATTTAATTGATGTTAGACATATAAAAACTTCTTTTTCAATCATTCTAATAAAAAATTACTGAATCAAAATCCGTTGCGTACTTTTAAAGATTTAAGCATACTTGGAACAAAGAAAGTGACTGTTATATACTATGTACTGATGAGAAGTACGTATTGATGTTTAGTTAGCAGAAGATATTATTTAAGGACCAACAAAATGCGCAAAGAATGTAGTCTTAATGTATTTCAAGACTCGGGGCTGTGGGTGATGCGATTTCCGGCTCGAAGCAGTAGGAAGGGGTAGTTTTAGACAGTAAGAAACCGTTATTCCCTCTCGCCTCAGAAGAAAAAATTGTATGATTTCATGATTAGGCTTTAGGCATTAAATTCAGGTAAATAAATAATTTCCCACATCAGTTTTCGTACATAAGTAAAAAAAAAACATTAGGTTATAGGTATTTCTTTATCAAAAAATCTATAATTTTAAAAATATACATTGACACTTAAAATCAAAACAGGGTTGGTTCTATCTAGAACAGAAGAATGTTTTACATATAAAATGGTACACAAATCTTTTTATTTTTTAATCGTATGGGAATTTTTTGTAGTATTTAACCAGTCCTCAAATAATAATGAAACGATAAAACATTTTAAGCTCATGTTTTGGTGTACATAAAGAAATAAAAATTGTAGGATCACAATTTTACAGGACTAAATTCTTAATTCAGTTTTTTTATGTTTATTTGACAAACTTTTACTAATGTATCGACATTAAAATATGAGAATATATTGCAAGTTAATTCATTTTTAACCAGTTTTTTTTTTCTGGAAGTGTAAGCGATTGTGTTGCATTCTAATAAAAGAAAAACAAGGATAACAAGCCAGCTAACATAGCAATATATCGGTACATTAACATTACAATATCTACATAACTACTTTATTTAAGAGTTCCCCATATATTTATGGTATCTTTTATACATAGTGTACAAATTGGTCATAGTCATTTGTCCTACGTAGCCAACCAAGCCACGTTTGAGGAAAGACATAGCATAGGTACTGTCGCAAGCTTGAATGAGTAACGCGACGGAATTTTCTAGATGTTGCCGAACCATTTTAGTTGGCGCATTTCGTTCTAAAGATGTGCAGAGATCCGCTACCGTGTACGCCGCTATACGAGACACGTGTTTCTTACGCTTGCTTATTGATTGGGATATTCTGAAAATAAAGATATAAATTAATATAATTTTTGTTATTACTTATTTATTAATCAAATAGTTGCCATCGTTGGATGAGGATAATCTCTCGAGTTGGATATCCGTGTCCCGATTTTGTTTTTGTAATAGTAAATTTAATCTGTATTATGTGGGACTCAAAAACAGAATTAGCGAAACTGATTCATCTCAAGATTTAAGCTCAGTTACAAATTTAGCGACTCGTTGTTATGGATAGGTAGGTATATAATGTAAAGACGTTGTGGTGTAAAAGTGCCGTTTTATGGCCTATTTGCAAAAATAAATTCATTGCTTCATTGTTTCAAAAGAAGTTTTTATAAAGTTTTATAATCGTACTTTTCAATAGAATGCGCCATTTCTGCGAGTTTTTCTTCGATTCTCCTCTCAAGTTGCGCGTGCGTCGTCGCTCGTTCACAGAGCGATGTAATAAGCGCCCTGTAACACTGCATGTAGCATGGCCACCTGAAATCAATTACATTTCCAATTAGGTACTACGTTTTTGTCTAGATCTTTAGGTACTTTTGTCGAGTAGACAGAAAAAATATATTGCGTGTTGTGTTATTCACCTTTCGTTTGTTGTTGTATCATTTAGGAACATTGTAATCTATCAGTAGATTACTATGTTCCTGAGCTCTATAGGCTATAAGTATAAAGCAACACGCTACGATCAAATAGAGCTGAGAAGCGGGTGAAACCGCGCGAGTGTAGCTTAGAAACATATATTTCAACAAAACCATATGCAGGCAATTTTGAAATTCTAAAAAAATAGGATAATAATCAGTCAGTCTGTTCGTCAGAGCAGCTAGGTGCTAACATAATAATAATATTATAAGTATCATACCTGTCTTCCAAAACCTCTTCTCTAGCTAGCAGCATATTGTTCAGCACTATGACACACCCTTCAAACAACATGAAGAATGCCTCCCAAGATATATCAAACTTCAAATTAGTTTTAGTACTAAGTACATAGTGTATTAGATGTTGTACTTCAAAAGTGACGTCGACGAAACTATAGTCTAGGGATATCTGAAAAAATATTAAAATAAAAAAAAAATATTACACTTAATTCTGATGTTATATAACGCGTACGTTAATTGTGAAAGGTATAGCTATCGTAATTTAATGTAAGGACAGAAAAAATATTCTGTTTGAAAATAAATATCTAAACAAATCATTTTTCGTTAGTGTAAGATTTCAGAATCGAGAATCCGTCTGTCATCATCATCATCAGCCTATAAGTGCCCCCATTGCTGAGCAAAGCCTTTCTCACACGTAGAAGGTTAGAGCATTAATCACCATGCTTGCTCAATGCGGATTGGCGATTTCAAACTTATTACTACAAATTATAAGTCCAGGTTTCCTCACGATGTTTACCTTCACCGTTTGTCAGTGGTGTCTAAATAATCATAGAAAGTACATAGAACTCGGAGAAAGTCACATTGGTACTTGCCAGGTTTCGAACCTCTGGGCCACCAATTGTACCGTCTCTATTAGTAAACAATTAACAGTTTAAGTACAAAATTGTTAAAAAATGTTTTCAAATTACTGTAAAACGAACCTTTTTGGCTGCCAAAAGCAGTTCTGACAAAGCATCCAAATCCAATCTAACAATTTCACAAATATCATCATCTACTTTTATAACTTTCACAATTAAATCTTCGGTAGGAATATCTTCATTGATTCTTGCAACACTGTCTTCGAAGTCATAGTGTTGCCTCATCCAATTTCTCAAATTCTTACAAGTGCGACACATTAATTTTGACATGGCAACACATTTGGGACCTACGATATTTGCTTTAAGACACTGCGACCATAAGAATTTGAAAACTTTTCGAGATTTGATCTCAGCGCTGTTGTCTTTTTGTTGCGAGGGTTTCTGAAAAAAATTTAATAAAGAATTACTTTTATTTTATTCACAGTATATCTATAATAATAATTTAGTGATATTAACGTTATGTCTTCTATTGTATTTCGATGCCTAACAAAAAGAAAACAAATCTTAATGTGACTTCGGTGCTCAATATACAAAAAATTACTAAAACGAAAATAAATGTTTTTAAAATAACCTTAATTCTGAAGATTAGTGAAGTAACATTTTTAAATCTTCGAAATGTTCTAAAACGAGGCAATAAAGAAGTTAACGAGTACTGAATAACTTACAAACTAAGAAAAAGAATAATTACCTTCAAAATAACCAAATTATTAAGATCACCAACGAAATTCGTTACGAAGCATTCGACCGACGACAGTTCGCACAGCAACTTCAGCGTAGTGCCGATTTCTTCATAACTACTACCACTTATAACTTTCTTTTCCTGTTCTAGAAGTAACCTTGCTTTAATACTACGCCACATTTGAAGGAACAAATTATCTTTCTCTTGGAAAATTGAGTGGGTTTCAAGTTTCTTCATACGCCGCAGTACAACGTTTAATAGTTGAATCGCTGAGTCTATGTGCTGTGGTTTCGAATCGGCATTTTCTATTGTTTTTATCTGTAAATTGATTCGTAAAAAGTGATTACAGCTATCGTCCTTTCAGTCAGAAATAAGTTAGTTAGAAAATAATAAAAAAAAAAAAATCTCCTAATCTGGGTGGCTAGCAGTGGTTGGATGAGAAAAGCTGAACATTGAGCTCAGTGGCGTGCAATTGTTGAGGCCTATGTTCAGCAGTGGATGAAATTAAACTGATGATGATGATGAAGATGATTAGCCTTCTTTCGTCTTTAATTCGGATGTAGGAAAATTAGTAGCTCATTAAATACCAATATTTTGTTAAAGCAACCTCAAAAGAACAGATGACTTTTCTTTTTATGGCTGTGTATTAAAATGGCACTAATTTGAAAATATTCAATACTTACAGCATTTTGAATAAAGAACTCCAGTGCGGTTAATAAACAGTCCAAATTTTTCGCATCCTCTCCATCAGCGTTTTCGGAGTACCTCGAAAGTGTTAACGAATACGCAACCATAGCGTTTAATGTTGCCACACTACTCTCTGATTGCACCACACTATCTTCAGTGTTACCAGTATCGTTTAGTGAAAAACTACTATTACCAAAATCAATGTTTTTAAAAGATTCTAGCAGAGATTTGTGAAGTTTTTCTTGTAAGTCTGCTAGTATTGATCGGAATGCACTTGCAGTTATAGCTTTTTTCTGCTTTACTATTGAAGGCAGAATGAGACAGGTGATTTGGAACACAGGATCGTTAAATGCTTCTATATCAGAATTAGACTTCTTATTCTTTTTCAATAGTTTTTCAACTATATTTTTGACTTGATCACTATCTATCCGAACCTTTTTCACGGCTAATTCTAGCAGACTTTTGATTATAAGTAAAGTATTGGGCGTTTTGATTTTCAATGTCAGCAATTCTAATAAAGTATTGTCTTTGAAGTTAAATATGTTATCAGCTGGGAATAATTGGTACAAATCTGGTCTCTGTAAACTCAATTCGTATATACTTTGCAGTACATAATCTACACTGCGTTTCAGTTTTTTGACAGTTGAACATTTTTTTATTGCCAGCATAACAAAAATTGCTACCAATTGGTAGTTTTCTTCTAAGTTATGAATTGGTAATTGCTTGAAGATATTTATTGAGTTTTTCAGTGTATCTTGCATTTCAGGATTTATAGATATATCATTGAAGTATTCTATTAAGGGTACTTCTTTGGCATAAGAAATGATATTGAAGTCAGATTTGCCCAATAGTTTGCTGAAAGAATCGCCGTTTTCAAAGGATTTTGCTATATTTTTGGCTGTTTCCAACACCAACATGTTTAGCAATTCTCTATTGTTTGCTACTGCATCGATAGTTAATACATCTAAGTCAGAGTTATCCAAGCAAAGTTTGATCAAACATTTGGCCAATGTTTTTACGTGTGCTTTCTCTAATCCAGTGAATAATGCTTTGCAGAAATACGTGTCTTGTAGCAGAGTTGGGTTGGCATTAATTTGTTTGATCAAATGTGTTTTCGTTGAGGTAATAGTTGGATATTCCTGTTGGTTGCTTATTGATAATAATTGGAGGGCCAATGTTTTCGCCAAGAGTAGGTTGTCCTGAAAATTAATAGCCATTCTATTAATATATAGTTCATTCTTCATAAACATAATGCAGGATATAATTTCCGATTCCATGCTATTACTGAAAATTGAAAATGTAGCCTCAAATAATAATTAGTGTAGATCGAACTGAACACCAAAGCCTAACTTTTTCATGGCGGCTTTAGCTTGGTACAGTTTGTATGTAAAGCTAACGAGAAATAAACTTACCAAAAATATAACAGCTTCATCATCCTGAATCTTCTGTGCGAGTGCTGTCCATTGCTGACTATTCAAGCAAGGTAATAACATGCATAAGTCAAAAACTTCCGATGTATTACCGCCAGGCGATATGTCCAGTTTTACATTACTATACTTTATGTTCAACAATTTCAGTTGAGCAAAACTTTGACATAGTTTCAGAAATGATATTACTAAAGGAGGGTTCTGAAATTGAGAAATTATGTAATTAGAATAAGACGGCAAAAACACATAGATAATAATATTCATAGGTGCCTAATTTTAAAACGAAAAAAGGTTTGAGCATTAATAACCAAGGTTGCTCAAAGCAGACTATAAATCCGTAATAACTTTCCAATCTAAAATGGCGTGATTATTGTTAAGTATTTTACGGTTTAATAAGTTGTATTATTTATGACAGGTGATCTACTCAATTGGTATTTATAAAACATTAATTGAAACTGTACTTTTGTTTGTGGATTCTTAAAGCACGATTTTTCGGAATTTATACTAGCTAATAGTAAAGAAGGTCACTTTTCACATCACAACATTAAGTAGTATTAAAATTTAAGTACTTACATAACTAAGTTTCAAAACGCACATCCCAAATTTAGCGATGCACTCAGTTTCGAATTTAGAATACATGTTCCAGAACCCTTCAGCTACGTTTAGGGGGACTGTGTGGTCCGCCATTTTGTTCTGTAGTAGAAAGGAAGACAAAATGGCCGACAGTACTTCAGTAAGAGTTATTATTGACGGACCTGAAAGAAGATTGAGAAGATTTTGTTTAAAAAAAATTGAAGTCTCTACTAGCTCTTCTCATGGAACCACTGCCAGACACCTTACGGATATCGACATCACCAAGCTGGAAAGCGCCCTACACTACGTTTGCCTAGATGCCTCTACTCCAAAACATGTCTACCAAAATGTCATTGGTTTTTCCAGAAATGTGTCAAATATACAAGGTACAAATAGACATTAAAATTAAAAACTAATTGTCTATTTAAAGAACTAAGAATTTAACTTAAAAATTCAGACCTCATATTTCATAGTTCCACTGTTTTGCAATCGGCCAATGAAAGTCTCAGAAAAGTAGAAAGACTGTCTTGACTAACATGGGATGAAATGTAGGCAAAAAAGAAAAAAAATACTCACTGACAAATCCTTCTTCCAACATCATCAAGCAATGTACTTCGAAATCTTTTTGCAATAATTCCAAAAGTTCCTTATTCTGTCTAAACATTAGCTCTGAAGTTAATTTCCCATACAAAGTCACACATTCTTGTGGAAATAGATCAGAACCTAGTATAATTTTTCCCTCCATTTTCTCGCAATCGACGCCATTTTGTTTTGCCTCTAATACTTTCTGTTTTAATTCAAATTGCTCAGTGTTGTCATCTTCCAAAATTTTTTTTACCGATGGTAGGATTTGGTTTAAGAATGTTGTACCTCTACTTAATTTGAAGAGTATTTCTAGTAAACAGTTTATTGTTTCAATGTAAGATTCTAATAAACTTGTACTATTTTTCTTTGCAGTCATTATTGGTGGTAAAATTGTGTCGATTTTCTGTTCGATTAACACGGGGTCTAGTTTCAGAGCTATTTTTATTATTTGCAATGTAGTCTTGTCCAGTTTCCCTTCCAATTTTAACTGCCCCATCATTAAAGCTTGAAGGAAAGAAGTAAAATTCTTTTTGATCTCAACCTTTGATATTTTCGCACCAAATGTGTCTGTGAGACGTACATTTATATCAATCTCATTACGCAACAAAACTTCCAACATATTTAAAAATAATACTCGTTTAGTTTTTGCATCATCTTGTAAAATCGATGGTAAATTCATTGCTGGTACAATAAAACTCTGTTCCATATTCAAAACATTAGCGACCATAATGTAAAAGGCGAATATAATTTGATTTTCTTTTTGGAACGAGCTGACAAAGACGTCAATGAAATTGTGTAAAAACTTTGTATCATTTTCAGAACGATTTTTTGGAAATTCAAAGAAAGTGTTCATTATTTTGATGACGGACTGTATATTATCGCCTTTCTCCGCAATCAGTTCATCTAAATTATCTTTCCTTATTAATGTTTGTAAGAAGCTGATGAAGTAGGACTTCTTATTTATGGGAAACAATACATTCTGGCATACATCTATGGCAGTTTTACGGCAATCTGTATCAAGAAAACTGAATATAGTTTCCAAGTTTTCTCCGTTTAACAACTTTGTGATGAAATCCAATTTCTTTTTTGATTCTCGGTAATATTTTATGAAGTTATTTAGAATTTTCTGACTCATTTGCATATTATTGTCATTCTTTAGATGTTGTAGTAGAGTTATTGTTATTGTGAGATATTCATCTGTCTGTAAGCTCAACTGCGGAGCAATTTTGGGGTTCTCTAGGAATGTTGTTATGTATTGTAACTCTTCTGCTTGTAATGGGTTCCTCTGTGTGAATTCTGATACAATCTGGAATTATAATTTATGATTCAACTATAACTAACCATTTCTTTGCTGGGATATGAGACACTATAGAAAACACATGTTTTCTTCCGTTAATTTATCCTGCAGCATACTATGAGTTATTCTATTTTGAAACTATTTTAATATTGTTTGCCTGTCTCAAAAACCTTTGTAACTATTAATATATTATGTTATAAGTATTAATATAATGTAAATTTTGATATTATTTTTTAATTGTATTAAACTTAATATGATTCCCAAGCCCACAGCTAAGCTAATATTGGTAAATAACATGACAATATGCACCTAAAGAAGAAAATCTATTTTATCAGCAGCAGGATAAAAAATAATAATAATGCAGATTATATTTGAGTTTTGTAACATACCTGTATCAATTTACTTTTTAATTCACTTGTCAAATCGTCAACCATAGATAACCAATTGAGTATACTCTTCAACTCTTCACTGCTTAGCTTATTTCTTGAGGTCAAGGTACAAAGCCATTCAGCCACAATCCTCTCTTTAGGTGCAGTCGGGAAGTGATGTGATTGCACCACATTTTTTGCCAAACACAATCTTTTTGGCAAAGGTGTTTTTTCATCGTCCAGCCGACGCTTGAGCTCTGGAAATTACAGTATAAAGTTTTATAGAAATGAATAAATACGGGAATTTAAACTGGTGGAGCTAAAAAAAGTTGGTCTCCAAAGATTTTATTATGGTTCTTTGGATTCACAAGTTTTAGAGTTGGTGATACGACTTATGATTATAAATGATACACAATCTTAGAAGATATAATGTCTTAGATTGGAAATTATAGTTAAAATAGGGTTAAAATGTAGTAGTCTTAGTATAGTATTTTTAACATTATTTCTGACAGAGATGTACTTTCATGATGATCAATCATAGGCAAAAATAGCCCTTAATACGTTATAATTACCTAAATACTTATAAAAACCAAATCGCTAGCAAATATACGCGAAAATTTTAAACTTCAGAATTTGTTTGAGGTTATATTGCACAAAAGATATTTTTAATGTTTTCACAAACTTTACTTACCGTTTAAAGGGTTTAACGACATGTTTAAAATGCAAACTAACAGCTAATTATAACTTTCACTTAGGTAAACGATTTAAAATTGTAAAAAGTGAATTATTAGTTTATTACTTTTCACATGCTGTATTGTTATTATTGAACGTTTTGATGTTGCTCTTACGACTCGGTGACATGGGCCTAACTGTCAAAATGTTTATTAAATGAAAAGCAGACACTATATACTACCTTACTACCTTTGCGGTTTAATTTATTATTAATTTAAGAAAGGTTTTGCTAAAACACAAATTAATTTGATAAAATTAATCATAACATAATAATATTATCTTTCATAATATTACATTTGGTTGGAGCAACTAAACGAATTAAAAAAAGAACAGGTCGATTCTGAAACGAAACAAATAAAAAGAAAACTAAGAATCATTTTTATTATTTACGCAACTATATAAATAGGCATAGGCTGACTAAAAATGAAGGTGTATATAATACATTTTATATGGATCTTACGTCAAATTTCTATAATTAGGTATGTAGGTATTAAGCAAACCTACAGATATTTAAACTAGTTAATGAAAATAAAAATAACAACCTAACAACATAAGATTATCAAAAAAAATATTTTATTTCTTTAACACATACATGTAAAGTGTAGCTTGGGATGGAGGTATCCTTTTAAGTTTAATAATGAATGATACCTGTTTTAGGACTGGCTAACTCTTCCGTCACTGAGGGCCGAGCCCGTCATTAAGGCCAGGGGTCGTAAGCTGGAGTGTGTGGCACATGTGCTGCTTAACGCTCGAAGATTTTAAGATTTTTATTCATTTATTTGTAGACACATTGTACTTATTTATTTATTTGTAAGTACCTATCTAAAAATCGCAGTTAGCTATAATTAGGTGTGTGTACACACACAATTATGGTATTTAAGCAAATATTTTGTATGTCGCTTTTGTTAAATGCTAGCAATATAAAATATCTAACGAAAATCTGAAAAAGATCTAAGTAATTTACGAACTCAAGCTTCTAAGTATAGGTATCACCTACTCGGGCCAATGACGCAGCCAAAGATGAAATCAAATAATCGTGTAAACAAAATTATAAGTGGCTATTTCCTAGTTCAGGCTCAACACTGAAATTTACCCGACGTTGCCTGTTTCAGTTAACGTCCTTTGTGAAGGCTGTCAAGAACACAAAACGCTACAATGATTGATTGGAAATTCGACACGTGCTAGTTGTGTGTAGTGTTAGTTCGACACCTAGTTTGTTTAACAATACCCATTTATTTAAAACTTTTACTAGGTAAGCGTTTGTTAGAAGTTTAGTTTATAATAAAATATTTTGTTTCTAAGTACTATGCTATTATTTTCGTCAAAGATACCGCAAAGCCTGAAGACAAAAGTCTTCAACGAGTGCGTCCTACCAGTAATGACATACAGAGCTAAGGCGTGGACACTAACAGTGCGAGTGATCCACCAATTTAAAGTCGCGCAGCGAGCTATGAAAAGGGTTACCTATGCTTGGAGTCCCTCTGAAGGATCGTATTCGAAACGACGTGATCCGACGGAGAACTAATGTTATCGACATAGCCCAAAGACCCGACAGATTGGGCAGCAAGGAACATGGTCCCATTGCTATAGGAATTTTGGGACTTCTAATCAAAATATCGCGACAAGTGGTTTTGATAGTCTTCTCGTACTATTAATCTGACACCGCCTAAAGATTTCTGAAGACACCGAAAAAGGTGGAAGTCTGATGGTGAAATAGGCGGAATTTGTGCTTCTCTCACAGACACTGCATTAGGTGCATAAACATTGCAATTTTTTTGTGGAAAACATTTAAATGTTTATCGAAATTCTTCATTATATTCATTCATCTCGAGAGTATGAAAAACAAATGAAATCACGCATATTCCTAATTTGAATTTGGTATTACGTTCTTTATAATTTAAACTTTCTATGGTACCAAAACTAGCCAGATACAAATAGTACCTATAGCCAAAGAGATTTTATTACAAGGTCATACAATGTGGTTGCATATAACATTATGTTGTGGGAGAGCCAAGCTTCGGTACGAATGGGTTGGTTCGTGCAACAACCACAGCGTTGTGAATCGCCTAGTGACTGAGGTTACCGGAAGCCCAATTCCTCCCCTCCATCTTTTCCCAATTTTTAAACAATCGAATTGTGGTCCGCCGTGTGAACGGCGAAACACAACGCTGTTGTTATATCACGCCAGTTTTCTGTGAGGCCGTGGTATCACTCCGGTTAACCCGACCCATTCGTGTCGAATCATGGCTCTTCCACATTTAGTCCTATTTTATAAATTTGTCACGATACATAAAGTTGTTCATAGTTTTCTGTGTTATTCACAAAGTTTGCAACACTTTAATATTTTATGAATGGTTCTGTTTTATCATTCCTTTTTACATTGTAGTTTTTGTTGGTCTTAGATTGTCTTTTGTTTGTTATTTAAGGCAAACTTTTCCCTTTATGCGTATAAGGATTGGGCCTCCGGTAACCTCACTCACATGGCGAAACACGACGCTGTGGTTGTTTCACGCCGATTTTCTGCGAGGCGTTGGTATTACTCCGGTCGAGTGGACTCATTCATGTGAAAGAATGTCGTGGTGGCCCGGAGGTTAAGATGCCCGCTTCTCATGCATGAGGGTGTGGTTTCGAAACCTGACAAGTACCAATGTGACTTTTTCCGAGTTATATTACTTTCTATGATTATTTAGACACCATTGACATACGGTGAAGGAACATCGTGAGGAAACCTGGAATATAATTTCAAATTATACGTTTGAAATCGCCAACCCGCATTGAGCAAGCGTTGTGATTAATGCTCTAAACTTCTCCGAATGAGAAGAGGCCTTTGCTCAGCAGTGGGCACTTATAGGCCGTTGATGATGATGATGATGTCTCTCCCACACTTAGTATCACGAAAGTTGATTTTCGGGTGATCTAACTATCTGGCTATGCCCGATTTCCATATCGAGTAAATCTATACTATATACAAATACTAATATTATAAGGAGGTAAAATTTGTAAGTTTGTAAGTAGGGGGTAACCTTTGGAACCGCTGGTCGGATTGCCAAAATTCTTGCACTGATAGATAGCTACAATCTTTCTGAGTGCTATAGGCTATAGAACATCACGCTACGATTAAATGGAGCTGACCAGTGGGTGGAACCACGCAAGAGTAGCTAGATAATAATAGTCGAATGTTTCTTTCTCAGATCTAAGTGGTTTATAGTTTACTTAAAAGCAAATTGTAATTATTTTCCTAATATATGTGTTATACTTACTTAGCTTCTTACAGTGAAGGTAAAATGCTAGATATAAGTATAATAATGATGAGGTATAGCTTCACGATCCACCGATATTACGCAAGCCTTGAAACTAAATTGCAGTTTCCCGACACATTACTAGTCAGATAGCAAAAGGCATTGGAGTATCAGATTGAAATACACGCGTGAAAATACTATCTGTTTCCATTTTTCTGATCTTTGATTAACTGAACTTAACTTTCTTTTTTTTACGTGATAGATTGATCGACAGACGTGCAGACGGATTACCTGATGGTAAGCAATTAGCGCCGCTCATGGACATCAACAGACGAGCTACGAGTGCGTTTCCGACCTTTTGGGGATTTGGGAGATTTAGGGATTGGGGAGGGATTAGGGTTGGGTTGATTATTACCTTACCATCAACGATTGCATCACTGCTTACCATCAGGTGGGATTGCAGTCCATCCCTAGTTTATATGATTTAAAAAATAATAACAAACGACAAATTCAGTCGGTTTGTACCGTTGGTAAGTGGTTTTATATCCTCTGTAAAACTATTTTTTGTGTGATCCACTAATTGTGGTTTCGGGTATGGGTGTTAAGCGTACTGAAATAAAGATTTTTCAAACAAATCACATGTTAATAAATAATCTTTTGTATCTTGTTTTTTCTTCCTCTCAAATAAAATCTTCTGATTTATGTCGTTGCGGGATTCAAGATAAATGAGAATTAAATAGAGACTTCAGTGTATCGGAGTTGTCATTGTTGCATACTGTAAATCCTGGAAGAAAAATATTTTTTGTTTATTAATCTTTAGCTACAATACTTATACAAATTTGACTGCACGATGACGACGACGACGCTGCGATGGCTAGGCGACTCTCGACTATATTGTCTGCACGGTTGGTGCGGTGGCTGGGCAACTGGCTGCCGTGCAACGTCTCGCGGCTTCGATTCCCGCACGGAACAACTCTTGTGTGATCTACAAGTTGTTGTTGTCTGGAAAAGTGGGTGGAAACTGGGTCTGGGTGTGTGTGTATATGAAATTGTATGTTTGTAAACGCACCCACGACACAGGAGAAAATCCTAGTGTGGAGCGACGTTACATAATTAGTCGTAGATTCGCGTCATTTGTACTTTTAGTTTCCGATTCTAAAACTAACGGATGACGGTATCTATATGATATCAATACATTATGGCTGTCTTTACGCCATCAACCTTCACAGGCGAAGCAAAAGTGGCATCCACGTCCAAGGAGCTGAAGCCTTTTCGAAAAAGACTAAATCCTCTAGTCTAGACTAGTCTTCTTTAACATTAAGGAAATTGTTATTATATAGCAGAAGCTTGAAGATTTTCCCAATCAAATCCTTCTTGATAAAACATTACATAAGGACATTCTAAGTACAACTTTACGAGGCCCGTATGTAAATGTTCATCTTTAAAACTATAACACACCCTCCATATTTTTTCAAAAGCTTTAAACATCTCCATTTAATCACAATAAGTAAACACCTAAACATGAACTGAATGAGTTAAAACGATTCATTCATAAAAATGTCAGCCATTTTGTGAAAGGTTACATTTATTAAATGTATTCTGTCATGGTCGGGATGCGTCGCTAAATAGGCCAAGGAGAAACTTTGCGCAGGCGCTAAAGAATTGATTTTCCCCCGCCATGACGTCACAAATACAACATGTCTGCCATTTGATCAAGTTGAGCTCAGTATAAAAATAATTAAATAAGAAACAGGAGCCACAGTTACCAAAAGAACATCAGATGTATCGAGTTAATGCCAAATTCTTCCGCGACTAATGTTAACGCGGAATTCGTTTACACAAAGTTCGTGAATAGATGATATAAAGCGCGTGTGTTTAGTTAGCCAGTGATA